ATCTCTTGTTCCTCTCATAAAGAAGCAGATACTGGGCCTGCTGCTGGGTTGATGCCCTTCTACGACCTGTTTAGCTCTCCTTATATAATAGCGTGTCTGCTGGTATCTCCTTCATACTCTTTAGACTGCTGGGAGACACAGCAAACCTTCTTGTTTTGGCACATATGGATGCCCTCCTGAAGGAGCTGGGAAACTTATGCAACTTGAATAGGGTCCAGGTACCATTTCATCATATTAGCAAAGAACAATAACCAAAAAGATAAACTAGAGAAAATCAGTCAGTAAAGAGGGTTTTGTTTTTCGAGTGGGGTGGCCTTGTTGTCACTTCTCCAGTACACCTGGTGTCACAATGGTTTGGACCAAAACAGATTAAATGGACTCACAAAACTTTGTTTTCTAACTGGACAGATTCATATCCCTAAACTTTCATGGACTTTGTGTTATGCTGCAATGAGTGTTCCCTAAATTTTTTCAGCAGTATTGTTTCTAATGCTTAGATGGATGACGTGAGCGATCACCAAAAGCAATCACCTGTTCCTTGATCATTTTCTTTCCAAAACGGCAGCAATCCAACTGTGCTGACTTTGCCCAAAAAGGCATTGATCTGTTGATTATCACAGCAGGGTGCGATAGGTGCTACTAGACTGCAGATAATTCACAGAGACATGAGTTTCCGGTTTCTCGGTACAATTGATAGGGAAAGAGAGCCCTGCCATTAACAGCACCTTGGTGAAACACATGAAGATAGACGTGCACTGCATTGCAGGTTTAATCTGTCGGTTTTCACACTCTTCTTCTCTTAGAGTACTATTCTAAGCGCAGCACTGCCGATGGTCTCCGATTTACTAAATGCAGTCTCTGATCCTGTAAGCAGATTAAGAGCTGCTCCAAATAACACAGCAAACACACCTTTAAAGTAACCAATTAGCAACACTGGCAGTCACATAAATAGCCTAAAGTAAAAGCTTCTTTCATTGTGGTTTGGTAATGCTCAGTAGGGATTCACACAGGGTGTTCCTTCAGCAAAGCGGTATAATAGATGACTGACAGTTTTCCTCTTCACTCAGAAAAAAATAGAAGCCCTTCATGATCTGAGCAGGCTCTGGACACGCCACTCGCCGGGCTGCCATTAGTGTTTGCTTCATGTTTCAAGCTGGAGTGACACGGCAGCTGTTATGGAAATGTCAAATTTCCATCACCAACCACTCACGATAATAATGCATTTCAGGCAGTGAGGCATTTAGCTGAAGCATTAGTTGACAAGCTTCAAGGATTTTGAATGCTTTTGAGTCACTTCATCATCTTAACAGGTTCCCCTACATTACTGATTGGTCGGAAATGCATTGTTTGGGCTCAGCTGACACTAAGAAGATATTTTTCAGCCTTGAATCTCTTGTAAAATATAGTATGGGCTTTGTGTGGCTATATTTAACACCTAAGTTTATTAAATTGCTCAGAGAACATCTCAAAAGGCTTTCGAAATGAGGTTAGAGCTGTTTAGAGGCTGACAGAGACGCAAAAGAGGCACCAGAAGACTAGAAGCGAGTAAAACTAAAGCTGCTACAGGTGCAGGAAAACAGTGGAAATCAGGCTGTACGTTTGAACATGATGTCCTGCTCATCAATTTATAAACGAATGATTCCAAAAGTTTGTTATACTTTAAATTTACCCTGTAATAACTGCACGTAACATTAAATTGCCTCTCAGTCTGTTTACAACCTGCCCGTGTCAGGCTATAGGACACTGCAGCAGGAGAAACCTACTGCTGCTCAATGTATCTGCTCCTCTGAGTGCTGCTTAATTGTATATGGCACTTTTTTTGTAATATTTATTAAGAAGGAATTTTTTTGCTCATTTCCAGTTTCACATTTTTATTCTTAGCCTGCACCAGAGTAGCTTTGCATGATTTACATTTCAAAATCATCCTTCTTTTTACTATACTAGAGTACTACTATGCATAACTGATTACCTTTAAAAGTTTTTAACGAAGGCCTTTTCACTGCATTGGTGTATGTTTTCCCCTGCATAAATGCTTAACTTGGCCTTGAGTTTGTTAATGGTCATGCGATGGCAGTATTTCTTCTTCACGTGGAACGGCAAAAATTCAATTGTACGTTTTTTAAAAATAGCAGCTGACTGATATTGAGCACTGCGAGCCCCCATCCCAAAAGTTCCTTAACCTTTAGAAAGTGCTGCCGTGATTCCTTTTTAAAAGTAGCTTTGTGGTCTTTTTACGTTTCTGATTTTATCTTTTTATTTTCTGGGCATTTTGTGTCTCTTTGCAATTGTTTGATATTACTTTAATCCCTTTGCAATCTTTTAGGCAGGTTCTCTGACCCATTGGGCTGCTGGTCCATCCATCCATCCATCCATCTTCCTAACAAGTTATCAGGTGGTGGAACCAGAGCCTATCTCAGCTTACATTGGGTGCGAAGCTGGATATACTCTGGACATTGTGTCAGTCGATCACAGGGCTAACGCAGACACAACGATAATCATTTACACTCACATCCATATTTTTGGCCATACAAACTCTACCAAAAAACTGATGATCAGGTTCAAACTTAACCTTCTCGCTGTTAGGCGACATGGCTGCTTCTTCAGCAATCCATTCTTTGCTATTAAACATAATGACTGGCAGCGAATAAGACCAATCAAATTGTGTCAAAAAACACAGCGTTAAAAAAGAGCTTCAGTTCACGTCTAGATTTCCAAATTTCCAGCAACTAACATGCTGTATATTTGAATCCAGCAGTGTGATGAACTGCAATGCTGTGTCTATATTTCAAGGGCATCAGTGATTCACTCTATCCAATCACAAGAGCCAAAAAGTGAAGTGTGAACCCTGTACAAGTCTCACCCTTAATGGCTGCCATCTAGCAATGTAGCATAAAACGAGGGAGCGACAAAAAGCAGGAGAATAATGCATCTTCGGTAACCAGAATTATGCCAGTGCTATAGACAGCCAGCAGTGGCACATAACTTGTGTCACAGTGTTGATTAGTGTTTTTGCATGCATGGTGAGAGCTACGGCATGTTGCAAACAGTCACACAATGCAGATGATAGCACAACAGCTGCAGTCAAATGTTTCAAATGTCATTGAATGGATGACATGTGCTTGATTTAGGACCGTGTTCCCGTGGGTTCAATGATGCACGTTCCTTTGAGAATTTGCGGATATTTTTGTCTGTCTCACAACTCAAAGACGTGAGTGTTTCTTTAATGCCTCGTGGAGACAGTGTCCCATCATTTTTTATCACAAGCAGAACATTTTTAACACAAGTGCCACTGGGACTGTTTCTTTTCTAGAGGTTTCCAGTTCCTCCAGCCTGAGGAGGAGATAACTCTGAACCCATCTGCATGCCTACAGCTACTAACACAGACAGTCTGATATGAAGAAGCTAAATGCTTTCATGCAGGATGGTCCGGGCAGACATAAACTCTCAAGTTAAAAGCAGGCGTGGTCTCTAATGCGGATATTATGTTTGGCCCATTAAGTGCTAAAATTCAGTTAACAGATCATAGATTTTCAGAGCTAATGACACTGAAAAATGATGTGTTTGTCTCTTTTTCTGTGCAACCAAAGGCTTACATCTAAGCAGCCAAACGCTGTGCTTATGTCCACAATAACTGGTGCATACATTATTAGGCTGGTGTATTATTCATCTGCAGTATAGAACACTGACACTGCTTAACAAAGCGCAGTATTTCTCCTGTGTATAAAACTGATTATTATATTTGAGGAGTTTTCAAAACAGATAAATTTAAGCTAACCACTAGTACACCATTAAAAATATGTTGCATGAGCCATTAGCAGCTCCTGCTTGCAGTTTTTTCCTGCTGGTATACAGGCAGCCATGACTGGATTACAATGGAGTCTGAGAAACAGGATGATTCTCAGGCAAGTTGCAGCTTCGTGGACATTTGTTTAAAGTGAACAATGATGATAGGGATTTAGAGATTGCATTGCATAAGAAGTGTCTGCACTGTGTCTGTCTTTGCCACTCTTGATTTCCAATGAAAATCCAAATCCAACACTAAGAAAGTCCAAGTTTTATCCCTGGTAAAAATCTAACAGTGCACTGTGTGTGAGTGTAAAACAGCCTCGCTCTGCATTTTCTTGATGAAACCACTCTATTTAACGCAACAAACTGAAACTAACTCACTTCCACAATAAAAATGTCTCAGCGAGCCACACTCTGCTGCTGTGTGGAGATGCATTAAAATGCACCACGGATACATTTCATCACACAGACTTGTCAGGACAGCATGTCAGGGGCTTTTTCCTCTCTGTAGCATGTGATCAGACATCGAGCCCTGTCAGCAGTTTAGAGCCCTGATAGATGGCGTAAAGGTGATAAACTGTACTCAACACATGCACACAGACACGGGCGCACACTTGCAACCAAGTAGCTTCACTATATTTGCATCATTGTTTAAAAGGAGAAGACACAGTAACAGAACTTACTGACCTTACTCTAACAGGACCACTAAGGCATCACTGCTACACGCACACAGCCAGTGACCCAGGATGTGCAACCACACAGCACAACTAGCTATAATCTAATTCAGCAGATGAACTGCACATTCTATGCAATACAGTTGCAACAACAGGCAACACGTTTTTGCTTTATAAAGGGCTGGTAATTAGCTGCTTTGATAATGCAATACTGGAGAGAGACGTCTAGCATGGTGGGGATGGTGGAGAGAAAGAACTTCATATTAACAGGAAGGCAACCATGTATACAAGCAGAGAAGGACATTTTTATGGGACAAATTAAACCACCTTCACATAAACTAATACGTGATCTACATTTGTAAACCTATATGCAATAAAAAGCAAAAAAGAAACAAACAAACAAAACAAATCTCTCCCCCATGGTTAAAACTTTAAACCTTCAGAATGAGACATGGGCTACTTTTCATTGGTTAAGAAAAGGAAGTCAAACACAGCCACAAATGGCTCAGATCTGAAGGAGGATTTGTGTGCTATACTTACCATGTTGACTTCTGACACCATGTCTATACTTGCCACGTCTATACTCATGCCAACAGCAACCGGTGGACCTTAAAATAGAGCAAAATAAAGTTAACTACGGATGAGCAATTCAGTCACATAAAACAGCAAAGAAACAGTGATAGTTATACCTCCAAAGTCTGGCCGAAGACGGATATCATATCCTTTGAGCAGTTTATCCACTGTCTCTTTGACAAAAGACATGTTCCCCGGTTCGTTGACGCTGAAAAAAGAGAATAAACCCCCCGGTGAGTCTTCCTGAAAGCGGACGCCAGGACTTTTAACCCCGCAGACACACTCACCTCTGGGCGCAGCACATCACGGCCACGACCAGCGGCACAGAGAGGGCGTCCAACAGACCTGTTCCCTGGCTGCCCCACATCCCTCGGGTGCTGTCTGGGTGCACAGCTGCAGTCAAGCGACCGACAAATGACTAAATGAAGAGTGAGCCGCGGTGCTCACACACACCCCCTAAACCAGGTGAGACGCCCTCCACATTGTCAGCCTGTGCGGCTTCAGGAGGCGCAGACTTCACTGCCAGATGTGCTGCTCGCTGGCTGTGACACAGCAGCGGAGCCGGAAAGCATCACACAGCTTGCTGCTGCTGCCCAGCATCCCCATCCTCTAGCCTTTCACCAGTTAGCACAAACTATAAAGTGCCCAATACTATAGAAATGTATAGAAATATCGCAGAAATCCACAGGTCCGCATTGTTAAAGCACACTGCATGCTTCAGCCTGGCAGAGCTGCTTGGAAAATGACTCTTCATGTCAGTACGCGCGAGTGTCATGGGGATGATTTCAGGACACGTGACTGTCTGTTTTAACAGTAGCCGCTTGTTTGAGTGGTTCTATTGACAGAGGAGACTGGGGCGGCCCAGCTGCGCTCAGACGCAGTGGCGTGCTCAAGGGTGTGCTGAGGTCGGGGGACCCCTGCCCATTTCTTTAACTGAATAATCTCACAGTTTTTTCCCCCCTTTGAATGCGGGGTTGTTGGGGTTTTTCTCTCTCTCTCTTTTAGACTAGTCTGTTAGTCAGATTGTTCTCTCCTTTTTAATCAAAGTATTAATGAATGCCAGAAATAACTATGACACTGCCCTGGTGGAATGCAGTGTCACAGCATGGTGAGACATTCATAACCAGGTAAAAAATAAGCATATGTTTGTTGATGCTAAATGTTACTTATCAACACAGCAGATAGCTATGCATGTTTTATGCTTTTTCTGGCACAACCGAAAAGGAGCCTTGAATGTCTGGCTGGACTTGAACTAGAAACCTTTCACTTCTCAAACAAATCCATAAATCACCACACTTGCAACTGCTTGCTAGCACCTTATGTTGATTTATTGGTCCAATTCTAGGTGTGATAACTCTCAACATGGGTGTTGCTTTCCAAGCTGCTTCCTTTGCCTGGGTAGCAACAGTTCAGTTCAGCACCACAAGTACTTTTCACCCCAACATAGGCTACGTCCACACTAACGGCGTTTTCGTCTGAAAACGTCGTTTTCGTCTGAAAGCGCTCCGCGACCACACTATCATTTTCAGTTGTTTCACAGAGTTGTGCGCTCCCATTGAAACGGCCAAAAAAGCTTATGTTCCAGTACTGCGCATGCGTGAAACGCAAGACGGTTCGACCTGCCTCATTTCTGTCTGCCATTTATTTACTTTCCGGCTCTTTGAAAAGTTGCAACAAAATGTTGAGGAAAAGCACAGAGTTTTTTAAATGGACTAACGATGAGGTGGAGTTGTTGCTCCGAGTAACGCAAAAGTACAAAGTTGCAAAAGCGAGTGTGAATTAAAGAATTTGAAGAAAAGCTATCTGGAGCATGTACAGACTGATATTAATCTTTAATAGGGCTGTCAAAATTGAGAGCAAACAAAACCACTGCTGTGTACTGCCCTCCGCTATCTTAGTTTAATTGGTCAATTCACTGCATCACATGACTAAAATGTGTCATCATTTTCAAAAAGTCTCAGTTTTTGCTGTCCACACTGCGACGCAAAAGCACCGTTTTCAAATGTATGCGTTTTTGAGAGCGTTTTAAAAATGCTGCATTTTCCTTGAGTGAAAACGCCGTCTCAGTATGGACGGGAGGCTAAAACGGAGAGAAAACGATGCGTTTTCGTTTCGTGTGGACGTAGCCATAGGATCCCGTGTCATCTGCTTGCTACTTTTTATGGAGTTTTCTTCACCAAGATCGATGTACATGCTACAGTTTCACTTGCTAACCTGGAAAATTGTAGCTAATAACTATCTGATTAGCAGAAGGTGCATTTCCATTTTTATGCAGATTTTTAACAACACAGTTTCATTTTCTTTTTGAATAGAAATGTGAAAAAAAATTGGACTTGGTGAAGATTATGAAGGTTTGAAAAGGTTGAAGAGTTTGTATTGAAATAATTCAAGTCATCATTACTGGTGCGGCCTCATCTTCTGCAATGGTTTAAAAGCACCTGAGTGGAGAATGACCACCAGCTGCTTACAACAATAAACTGATAATACTCAGTCCCTCAGGATTTTGTGCTTTACCTGCTTTGATAAGCTTGCTTTTTTTATTGCAGCTACTACATGCTAATGCTAATGTCGTACTGTGCATTAGCACTTACTGATACTCCAAAACGACCACTTTTGAACACAGTGCTTGTTGCTAAGTTTAAGTAGTGGAGTGTGCAGGTCTAATTGTCTTACATATATTTGTAGGTTTTCCAGATTTGGTTACAGGGTAGAAGCAGGTTGGAGATCTAAAAGTTCAATGCTAATTTTAGAAGATCTGACTCAGCCTTACTTGTTAATGAAAACAATGTTCGCACCCCCACGAGTGCCAATCAGTTTAAGTTGTTCTAGTGAAGATTTCATGAAAATGCTCACTGAGCTCTTTTTTCCCCCTCTCTGCTCCAGTGTTTGCCGTAGAGGAAGAAGTTCAATACTGCTGCAGGGAATGAGATTGTGCTTTAGTTGGACGCCTACCAAAAGATTTCTCCTATTTATTCAAGAGACCCGCTCTGGTTTTCTGCCACTTTTCAGAATGAACACTCTGCAACTTTTTCTAATAAAGTTTCCCTTTTGTTGCAGCCCTCAAGAAAGCAGTGTTTAGGGATTGATTCTTACCTTGTATCATAGATGGCATACAGCTTTTTGTTTCCATCAACAGCATTCCTGCAAACACAGAAAAGAAAAGATTACTTTCCGTGTGAGTACGGTGACTTTTACGGACTCGTTCCATGTCCCTACAGGGGATTTGTTCCCGATCCAGTTTTATTGCACATTGTTAGAAACACGCAAGTACCAGTTGTTGCTGCAGTATCACAAGCCAATCTTTCTACTTGTACTTGTGTTGTGGAATTTAAAATAACTAAGTCATCTGGAAGTGAGTTGACCCTAACCCTTTGAAATAAATGCAGATTCCTGTCCTAGAGGGTTCTCTGTGCCTCCTTGAGAAGCACAGAGTGACATGTTGTCTCTTCAAGTAGTCTGGACCACTAACCACCAAACCGGGACTCAGTTTTTAAAATGTCCCACTTAGGTCAGGACCACAATAATCTCAGAGAAATGGAGAAAGCATCACTCCAAATTAAATGGCTCATTTTTAACCACTGCCTCTTCCATGTAATTAAGCACGCTGAAAAGCAATAAAGCACATGAATCAAGCCATTAATACAAAACACTAGTGAGAGGCACAACCGACTAAAGCATAAATACACAAAATCCCACATTAAAGAAATGACTTCTGAATCAGTAACCAGTACCAGAACGTACCATTCAAATGGTTTTCAGTCAGTGTAATGCTTCTGAATCTCATAACACAAGGCTGAGGCCAACACCATCGTTTTCCAGGTTTCTGCATGATTACTTTGATTTCTCTACACTCAGGGTATCTACAGCTGTTGGAAATTCATGCAAACCATTCTCAAGCAATATTGTTTGACAAGACAAATCAAAAACAATTGTTCAGTTCATAATTCACAGTATTATCCCGTACAGTGATAAACTGTATATAAAAGATGGATGCAGCCCCTGTGACGCCACCCCCTGGTTAGTAAGGTCCTTTTAAGAAGCCTTCAGGTGAGCATGTTGACTGTCACCATGATGTGATGACTGTGAAACTGTGCCATACTGCATGGATTTAAATCCATTTGTACTAGTTTTTATATTAGATTATCTCTACTTTCTGTTTCACTCATTTGCGTTTTTAACTTGTTTTATTTATTTACTTGAATCTGATTTTTAGTATATGGGGCACAGAAACTGACACTAAATGTATATTTTAGCTTCTGTGCATACAAAATAAACTAGACTTCTTAATGAGGCTATTTAACTATTAACTATTTAACTTTAATTTTTTTAAGTAGACAACTTATCTAAAAGGGTCCTCCCTAAAGGAGAGTTAGCTTGATTGCTCTTTTTCACTCTAACTGGGGCCATAATTTACAAAGTGGAAATCTTATTGTAATTAATAAAATATGGAAATGGTGACTGAGAACATAAAGTCATCAGGAAAGTCTTTACTTGGGTCAGATTTTGATAGCAGTAGGCTTTTTTTTCACAAAGACTTCTATAGACGAACCAAAAAGAGTCGCCCTCTGCTGTCCTTTTGAAACATGGGGCTTCAGCTTTACTGTTCAGACTTGGAAAAAAACACACTATAAAAACAGAGAAAAGGTTTATCTTACACTGCAAATTTTTGATAGTTTTATATTATATTGATGATATATTACGGTTTTATGTAACTAAATCTTGTAACATAGTATAAATGTATTATATACAATAAGGGACAAGGGTTGGAAATGAGCAATAGCTATAGACTGTGATGTGCAGCATTGCAGAGTTTTGTGCTCTATATTGGAACTATGTTGAACTGCATTGTCCCTTTTAAATAAATAAATTGGATATAGATGCATCCTTCTTTTTACTACAGTCTATATACAGTGGGTACGGTGGATGTCACTGGATGTTGATAAAATACAAATAATTTGTAGTTTGCAAATACACTAGAGCACTGGAGGGGAGCAGTAGATCAGTGCAGTATACCATGAGTGCAGCTGCCTGTTAAAACAATAGAACAGCGCTGAAATGAAAATAAGCCACTTCTGTTTGTGTAGCTTTAACCTCACATTAAATAAGTGAAGCTTTTACGGCTAATATTGCTGATGGCTCTCATGCTGTGGATTATTACTACGGACACTTTGATTTTTGCCTCTTTTTTGCCTCCCTCTGCCACCTCCCCCTCCCTCCCCTCTCCGTCTCTCATCCCTCTACAGCATCTCTCCTCCGCTCACTGGCCACACATCCTCCCGCTTCTCTGCACGCTCGCCTGCTCGTTTCGCACCAAACTCTACATTTGCACTCAGCTTTTCCTTTGGATACACTATTGGATTTTTTGCTAAGCTGGCTTTGTGCTCGCGGCTCCTCGGAGACCA